GCTGTCAGTGACAGAGAAACCATGATTAAATGGAAAACTAAACACAGCTCTATTTTCTTTAAAGACATTTTGCAATATTTCACAAGTTAATCTATCTATCTATCTATATTATATATATAATTAACGTATCTATAGCTATCTATCATATATATTTATATATCTATCTATCACCTATCTATATATTTATATCATCAATGTATCTATCTATCTGTCGCTCTGTCTGCCTATTATCTATCTATCTATCTATCTATCTATCTCTCTCTCTATATATTATATATATATATATATATATATATATATAACTATTATATATCTATCTATCTGCCTATCATTTATCTATTATTATTATTGCCATTTATACAGCACCAACAGGTTCTGTAGTGCTTTACACTATTATCTATCTATCACCATTGTATCTATCTATCACCATTGTAGCTATCTAGCTATCTATCTAGCTATCTAGCTATCTATCTAGCTATCTATCTATCTATCTATCACCAATGTATCTATCTATCTATCTATCTATCTATCACCAATGTATCTATCTATGTATCTATCTATCTATCTATCACCAATGTATCTATCTATCTATCTATCTATCTATCACCAATGTATCTATCTATCTATCTATCTATCACCAATGTATCTATCTATCTATCTATCTATCTATCTATTTATCTATCTATCTATCTATCTATCTATCATCAATGTATCTATCATTTATATATCTAATGCCATGTAATATTATATTTAATATTTCTGCAGTATTTTCATTTGAACAACATGGGTCTCAAAAGGATATGAACCAGAGTTTTTTATGCCTACTTATTGGTAAACCCTCATTTATTTATTTATAAAATGTTTAACCAGGAAGCATATATTGAGATTCCTCTTGTTTTCAAGTATGTCCTTGGTACACAAAACATTGCATCGTTACAATAGGGTACATTAAAAAAATAATAATAATACAATATACAAACTATTTATATATATATATATATACACACACACACATATATAAATGTAACACAGGATAGGTAATAAATATAGTCAGCCATGACAGGTGCATTCTGTATTGAGGTACGTTGCCATAGATCTCTTAAAAGATTTTCGATTGAATGAAGAATTGACTGTGTCCCTGAGGTTATTCCATAATTGCAATGCTTTGTAGGAAAATGAGGATCAAAACACTTTATTTTTGTATTGCGGTATGCTAAATATTGTACTAGTACTGGATCGGAGGTTATAGGAGGTGGGAACAGCTGGGGAGAGCATTCTAAGTAGGGTGGGAGCTTCCCAGAAAAGCTCTTATGGACAAGGCTGGAAAGATGAAGAGTGCATTGGGATTCCAGCGATAGCCAGTTTAGCTCTTTTAACATGTCACATTCTAGTACAAAGCAGAACGAATTATACAGCGTATTACGTTTATGAAGGTGGGTTTGCAATGCGGGTGCATACACTACATCCCCATAATTCCTCGGTGGCGGAAGGACATGCGCCAAACTGCTATCCGCCTCAGGCCTAGCCGCCACTACATTTGCCCAGTGTGCAGTTAGGGAGATATAGCATCCCTGACCGTGCTTACTGGTCCACGTATTTGTGGTTATGTGAACCTTGCCACAGATGGAGTTGCGCAGTGCACACCTGATTTTGTCCGCCAATTGGTTTTGCAGGGAAGGGATGGCTCATCTGGAAAAGTAGTGGCGGCTGGGAACCACGTACTGTGGGACAGCCACCGCCATCAGGTTTTTAAAACTGTCCGTTTCCACCAGACGGAATGACAGCATTTCAAAGGCCAGGAATTTTGAAATGCTGGCATTCAGGGCCAGGGATCGCGGGTGGGTAGAGCCATACTTCCTCTTTCTCTACAGTGTTTGGGAGATGGACAGCTGAACGCTTCCATGGGACAGTGTTGAGATGCTTGGGGATGGTGGCGGATGTGGTGGCGTTGCTGCCACATCCTCTGTTTGCGGGGTGGCAGGTGCCACTCTGACTCCAGAGGTGGAGGAAGAGGCTGAGACAGCAGCAGAAGAGGAAACAGGATGAGCCTGAGACCTTTCTTGGTTTTTGAGGTGCTTACTCCACTGCAGCTCGAGCTTTGCATGTAGATGCCTGGTCATGCAGGTTGTGCTCAGGTTTAGCACGTTTATGCCTCGCTTCAGGCTCTGATTGCACAGCTTGCAAACCACTCGTGTCTTGTCGTCAGCACATTGTCTGAAGAACTGCCACGCCAGGGAACCTCTTGGAGCTGGGTTTGTTGTGCTCGGTCCCTGGGTGCGGTGGGCAGTAGCAGGCATACCGTCTAGGAGACAGCTGCTCCGCTTTTGCACCCTGCTCCCTCTTATGCTGTGCTGGTGCCTCTGTGCGGCCACCGCCTCTTCCTCCAAACTGGACCTCATCATTCTCCAGATCATCTTCCACCCACTCCTCAACCCTGCCCTCCTTGCCGGTCTGCACACTGCCAAAAGCCATAGTATTTGGCACCTGTGTTTCGTCATCATCAAAGACGTGCTGCGGTGGTCCCTGCATGTCCACATCCTGACACATAAGTGGTTGTGCATCAGTGCACTCAATCTCTTCCACTTCTGGGGCAGGGCTAGGTGGCTGGCCCACGGAAACCCTGCCAGCAGAGTCATCAAAAAGCATAAGAGACTGCTGCATGACTTGTGGCTCAGACTGCTTGGCTGATTTGCAAGGGGGTGAGGTAAAAGACAGATGGCCTTGGGCTGCAGGTGCCAACTCTGAGCTTTCAGCAGGGGACCAGGTGGGAGACAATGTGCAGGAACTGGAGGCACTGTCTGTAAAGGATCCCGCTATTCGTGTAGTGCTGATCCTTGTAGTTTCTCCCGAAATCCAAGTTGAAGTAGAGTAAAGTAGTGATTATAGCTCCCAATCCCCCAAACATGAGTCGAGACTTCATGAAGGGGTAAAACGATCTGATTTAATGAGGGCTACCTGCCCGGTATTTATGCAGGTCTCCCACCTGGTGGACACTCCCCTAGGGGACCAGATGGAAAACTGGGACAAAAGAAGTACAGTAGCCAATCACAGTGGCTCAGGTATAAACACTCCCCTTTGTATAGGTAAATCCCTCCTCTCTATCCTGGAGATAATTAACTTAAGTGGTGGAAGAGACCCTAATTATCTCCAGGTAGAGAAAAACATGTCCTTTTTATATTTTCATAAAACAGTATTAAAATCTATAACTTGTATTTCACCGAACGTAGACTGTAAGTCCCACATACCCCCAGATAGCTTGGATCTGAGCGCACATTATAGTCGAATGGTGCTCAGATCCCAAGAACACAGTTCTCAATATCGTCGAATGAAGTTTTAATTCACCAGTTGTTCTCGGAATTGCATCCGCAAAGAGTTCCATAACTGTAGCTACCAGGAGTCGGTCTATCTCGTATAGTATAAAGGTCCCGAACGGTAAAGTGTTCCAGGTATTCGTGAGTTTTAGCCGTATGAACGGGGAACATGGTATGCGCCAGCGGTGTTCGGCTAAATAAGTGTCCAAAAATAGTTCCAGAGAATCACCGCCATCTACCGCTGAGCGTTCGACGATTTAAAATGGCGACCGCCATGTGTTCGGCAAACGAACGTGGACCACCAAGCCTTTCCTCAATTACTCTGCGGTTAACCGCAAGGTCTGGGCGGTAAATGAGCTGCACACGACCTCAATGGGAGGTTGGGTGATTCGGTAGTTTGTTCGCTTTATTGCAATTGCATGAAATAGCCACACATACGAATAAATAACCGAAATGCTGTTTCTCTGAGTCTGTTTAAAATGGGATTTCATTACACTGTCAGACATCCAATCTACTATCACCTGTAATTGTTCTGGCCTCACAGATACACACACACAGACACACACATATAATCACAGTGAACCACACATACATGCACTGATACACAGGTACATATACACACTTGCACACAGACACATACATACACTGATGCATAAACATACACTGGCACACAGATACACATATAAACACACTGAATCACATGTATGCACACTGACATACAGATACATATACACACTCACTCACAGACACATATACACACAGATATACACACGTCGTAAATGTATTTATATTTTTAGCCACCCTCCTGTTAACATACCTTTTATGTGCAGAAGGGTGGCTTCCCTGGAATCCTACTACTGGTTGAGTTTGTAGCCCATGTACCAGTGTAGCTAAGGGGAGTGGGCCTTGACATTGCTAGGAGACAGGCATATAATGAAGTGGTTGTGTGGGATTATATAAAAAATAGCATTGTGGGTGGAGTTACCAGGCCACTTTAGGTTAAGGGGACATTTTAATTAAGCTGCTCTTACTTGTTGTTGTGACAGGTTTTTGTGTAGTGTTTTCTTTCTGTCTCCTTTACAGGTTTTTCTCAATTCAGGATGGAAGATGGGCTAGCAGGAGTCAGGGCAGCTGTGAAGAAGAGAGGTTCCAGGGCCATTTAGGTGATGCTTTGCCAATAGGATCTGCCACGTCCCCAGTATGGAGGCCAGCTCAGAGAACCAAGCCCCATCCGAGATTGAGTCCCCGCATGGTGCCGGGTACGAGGTGACGGCGGAGCCCATCTGGAGACCCTAGCAGTGTCGGTGAGGATGTCAGCAGCAAAAGCAGGAGTGGAGGCGTTTGCGTACGGCTGCACGTTCGCGTTGTGACAACAGGAATGAGGCTCCGTCTGACTGGTTGGGCCGCGAATAGGAGTATTCCTTTGTGACCGCACGTTCGGGCTGCAAACCAGGAGGTAAAGGAACTACTGAACGTTCAGGCCGTGAACGTAGAGGTATGGAAACAACCGAACGTTCGGGCCGCGAACCTACAGGTACAAAACTATCGAACATTAGGTTCGCGAATGTGGCCTTTTGCATGCAGCTGAGCGTTCAGGAGGTGACTATCTTGTTTCAGATGCAGCTGGGCATTCAGCAGAAGGGTTCCATCATTCGGGCCAGAGACCTATTCGCACAGTGAACAGCAGGAATGAGACAGGACGAACGGCAGACTTTGAAGCAGAATCTGGTAACACTTGAAGTGCTGCTTGGAGTGGAAGAGCAGAGATATCAGCTGTTCATCAGCCGGGTGAGTTGGTTCCCAACACCGTTGCCCCCACTTTTGCTAGCCCAAGGGTTTCCCCAGAGGTGGGCCCCAGTACAGGTTTGGTTGGCAGCAGGAGGGTTGCAGATGGTAGGCATATGGCCAGACAAACGGCAGCTGGGTCCCCTCTTTCCAATGACAGACGACACTCCGTAATTTTCCCTGACAGGTTACGGGACCATAGTGTGTCACCTCCCAGGATAACGCTAGGGCGAGTCGGGAGGCAAGCTTCAGGGAGTATGCATATAGGGTTGATGCCGAGGGACAGCTCAGGGGGGCTTTCCTCATGGGTGGGCATACCTCGCTGCACTCAGGAGGATGATGGCAGGTTCCATAGGGATGCTGATAGATATTGGTCTAGGAGCAGTCATTGTAAGGAGATGGATAGCGACAGCAGGGGGTCCCCTTCCGGATATGCTGGGGGGGGGGATTTCAGATTCCCCTGTTAGGATAGAGTACCAGAGGCGTTGTGGGTCTAGATCTATTAGCAGAAGTTCTCCAGCGAGGAGCGTTGCAGGGGCTTCTTCGCACGCTCACAGCCCTAGGGGTCAGGATGCCAGTGAGGGATTAAGTCACGGTTCCCACTCGGGAGTAAGGAAGGTCAGGGATACTACGGCCAGCCTACCCAGGATGTCTTCTCCTTACAGGTCACCAAGATGGTCGCCCACCGATCGGGTGAGATCAGGTACTGTAAGGTCGCCAAGACGGTCGCCTACGGATTGGGTGAGACTGAATTCGCCAAGACGATCACCCACGGATCAGGTGAGACCATTCGCTGGAAAGTCGTCTAGACGGTTCCCCTTAGATAGGGTGAGACCTGTGGATGGGGAAGTACAGCTCAAGCACCAGAGTGCTTGGGTCAGGACAGCAGATCTTGGTTGACACCACCACAGCCTTTAGCGGAGGGTGAGTCACTTTCAGTACCTCATTCAGGGGATCTGTTAGACAGTTTGAAAAATTTCTTAGATTCTCGGAGTGCGGGTAGGAGACAGGATGTGAATTTTAATCATATTTTGGTTCCAAGGGTGGAAGGTTTAGGGTCAAGCACAGTTGGGGTGCCTGTAGTAGGAGGGATTGCAGGGGGAGAGACAGTGGCAACATCGGCTGTTTCTGCATCAATTGATTTAGAGAGTGAGCGGGCGAATTTGCTCGGGGGTATTCCAGATGCGGCTCGTCGGAACGTGCACGTTTCCTTTGCAGGACCTTTGGGCTGTCATCTTAAGCCCGATGTGAAGGAACGTATTTGGAAAGGGGAGTTTGTGGAGATCTATTCCCTTCTTCCTCTGGAGGAGTATATATATCTTAAAGAGGAGGATTAAAAGGATACTAAAAAAGAGGAGGAGGAAAAAAAGCATTGTTACTGTAAGATTACTCAGACGTTTGGCAATTGGTTGAGTGCTTTTTGTATTCTAGCTAGCTTGATGGGAGAGAAGTCTCCGGATCGTTATTCCCAGTTATTTAGCTACCTTGAGGGTATTTGGGAGGCATACCGCACGTACGGGGGTCTCGCGTGGTGGCGTTAGGATGAACAGTTTAGTCAGCGCTTGTCTGCCAATCCAGGGATGTAGTGGGATCAAATGGACCTACCGCTCTGATGAAGCTAATGATGGCACACATTTCAGTCGGGGGCCGGGGCAGGATCTTCATCCACCTCATCAGCCAGCCATAGAAAAGGTTTCTGCAGGCTCTTCTTGAAGGGTAGTGCAAGTGGAGGGCCACATGTCGGTTTCAGAATGAGTGCTCGGGTTGTGGAGGAACCCACGGACTTCATCGGTGCTTCAAGAGAGGTAATGCTTCTGGCCGCAGGGGGTTCATCAGGAGATGCGGACCCATCCGCTGCCAGTGGGGTTAACGCTGGTGTGGGTCGGTGTGATGTTACCGTTGCTAAACAGCTACGGTAACCAGGTCAATGTGTCATTACTGAAGGATGGTTTTATTAGTGGTTTTGTTATCCCGTTCCAGGTTAGGTTAGTGGTTCCTCGTCTTCATAATTTCAAATCGGTTGGGGAATATCCGGGGGTGGTGTTGGAAAAATTTACTGTAAGAGTGGGTCATTGTCGGGGGGTTTATTTGTATAAAGGCAGGATGCTGGATTTACATGTCAATGTTGGCATGGTGTTGACAATGACCTTAATTTTACTTGTTAAAACTTATTATCACTAAAAGCTGTGATCAATTTTTACCCAAAAAAATACGGTCAGTGTTTTATGGGGATTCGGGTTGGGTTTAAGCATATGCCGCAGAGACGACTATGCACATGTCATGATTGTAGTGGCTGGATGGAGCTGGGCCTCTGCCTCCTCCACTCCTCTCCTCCAGCACAGCACTCTCGCTGTATCTTGGAGGAAGTGACCGACACTCACTTCCTCCCAGCAGTGCACTGGCTGTTGATACTACTGTTAAAGGGCCACTTCGCCTTGCAAAGTCCATTGGGTGGCCCCAGGGCCATCTTTCCGTGATGCCATATGCTCAGGATGACAGGGGAGATCTCCCTCACCGGCCCAAAGGTCCTTCGGCAGTGGAGAGAGAGGGAGGGAGGGACCTGGGAGGCAGATCACTCCTCCCACGAGCGGGCTGTGTGGAGCATTGCCGCACAGTATCATGGCAATGCTCCTACACAGCGCTCATCTCAGGACAAATAAAGTCAGTTTGCAGAGGAGCTGCAGGCTACAGAGAACTCACCACTACCAGATCACCAGGGCTGCCAGGGCTTCACCAAAGGTAAGAAGAAACGTAGGGGGGACATGAACCTTTTGTTAATGTATCTTTATTATTATTTTTTTTAAAAAAACTTTTCTTCCTGCACCCCTTAAACTCTGCACCCCTCACACACACACACATAGCACCCGTCACACATACACACACTGTACCACTTACACACACACACACAGCAAGCCTCACAAACATAGCACCCCTCAAACACACACAAAGGATCCCACACACACAAACACACACACAGCACCCCTCACGAACAGACACTGCACCACACACACACACACTGCACAACTCACACACACAGCACTCCACACACACCATACACCCCTCACACATACACAGCACCCCTCACACATAGTAACCTTCATATACACACACACACAGCATCCCTCACACACACACAGCACCCTTCACACACACACGGCACCCCTATAGACTGCACTCCTCAGTGTAGTCTGTGTGTGTGTATTCAGCAGTGTGTGTGTGTATTCAGCAGTTTGTGGGTATTGAGCAGTCTGTTTGTGTATTCAGCAGTTTGTGGGTATTGAGCAGTCTGTTTATGTCTTCAGCAGTTTGTGGGTATTGAGCAGTCTGTTTATGTCTTCAGCAGTTTGTGGGTATTGAGCAGTCTGTTTGTGTCTTCAGCAGTTTGTGGGTATTGAGCAGTCTGTTTGTGTCTAGGGCAGTTTGTGGGTATTGAGCAGTCTGTGTATTTAGCAGTCTGTGGGTATTCAGCAGTCTGTTTGTGTATTCAGCAGTCTGTAGGTATTCAGCAGTCTGTAGGTATTCAGCAGTTTGTGGGTATTGAGCAGTCTGTTGTGTATTTAGCAGTCTGTGGGTATTCAGCAGTCTGTTTGTGTATTCAGCAGTCTGTATGTGTATTCAGCAGTTTGTGGGTATTCAGCAGTCTGTTTGTGTCTTCAGCAGTCTGTGGGTATTCAGCGGTCTGTATGTGTATTCAGCAGTCTGTGGGTATTCAGCAGTCTGTATGTGTATTCAGCAGTTTGTGGGTATTCAGCAGTCTGTATGTGTATTCAGCAGTTTGTGGGTATTCAGCAGTCTGTTTGTGTATTCAGCAGTTTGTGGGTATTCAGCAGTCTGTTTGTGTATTCAGCAGTTTGTGGGTATTCAGCAGTCTGTTTCTGTATTCAGCAGCCTGTATGTGTATTCAGCAGTTTGTGGGTATTCAGCAGTCTGTATGTGTATTCAGCAGTCTGTGGGTATTCAGCAGTCGGTTTGTGTATTCAGCAGTTTGTGGGTATTCAGCAGTCTGTTTGTGTATTCAGCAGCATGTATGTGTATTCAGCAGTTTGTGGGTATTCAGCAGTCTGTATGTGTATTCAGTAGTCTGTTTGTGTATACAGCAGTTTATGGGTATTCAGCAGTCTGTTTGTGTATTCAGCAGTTTGTGGGTATTCAGCAGTCTGTTTGTGTATCCAGCAGTTTGTGGGTATTCAGCAGTCTGTTTGTGTATCCAGCAGTTTGAGGGTATTCAGCAGTCTGTTTGTGTATTCAGCAGTCTGTTTGTGTATTCAGCAGTTTGTGGGTATTCAGCAGTCTGTTTGTGTATTTAGCCGTCTGTGGGTATTCAGCAGTCTGTTTGTGTATTCAGCAGTTTGTGTATTTAGCAGTCTGTGGGTATTCAGCAGCCTGTACGTATTCAGCAGTCTATACGTATTCAGCAGTCTATACGTTTTCAGCAGTCTATACGTTTTCAGCAGTCTATGTGTTGTGATCCTGTATAGCAATTAGCACAGTCCTCTAGTTTACAAACATGCACAGTCTTTTGTTTTAATATAAATTCAGTCACTTTATTTGGAAATCCACACAGGAGGCAGCATCAGGAACACCACCAAATAAATAATAATGTAACAGAAATCCCTGCAAACAAAATCCTAGCTCGTCTGAGCGCTTACTAACATTCAATTTCCCTCTCTATCAAGGGTTAAACTTAAACCTATCATAGGTGTCACCAACCTTGTTTATTAGCAACTCTCTGCACTCCAGTGCTCAGTCATCTTGTGGGTACCTCATCTCCTTCTGCACCTCAGTGCTCCAAGCCAGCCTGCTGCTTCCAACCTCCAAGGGAGAAACAAAAATCTCTCTTTATCTGCCTAGCAGAGAGGGGTTTATTCCCACTGCTGCAGCCGATTACCTGCAGCTGAGCAAAGGGTTGGAGACAGCCTGAATTCCTGGCCTGGACCTTATGTCTCCCAGTTGCTTGAAAACTGAGGAGTGGAGCACCGGCCCTCCCTACTCTCCGAATGCTCCACCCCAGGGGCCCATATCTAGACATTAATTGATGTAGCATACAACACACACTCCCCGTGGGGTTAAATGTCATATGCCTCTCTGAAGAAATTAGCAGAAATATAAACACCCTCACAAACAACATCATTATTCACTTTGTCACAGTGTGTATTCAGCAGTCTGTGAGTATATTCAGCAACCAGTGTGTGTATTCAGCAGTCTCTGTGTGTATTCAGCAGTATGTATGGTTTCAGACACATCCTAGAACATTACATAGTTGTACTATCACTCATATGACCATACACTGGAACTCATGCAAACACACTAGCAGACATCCAGCAACAAACACTAACACATATAAGGAAGACATTTACCATTCCTTCTAGTTTTCTTATACTTAAAGAAGAAAGGGGGGATTCCATAGTGTCCATTGTTCAAGGAGCTCAGCATGCTATGCAGTACAAACTCCCCTCCTCCCACATTTCATATCAGACAGCAGCGATCGATGAGATATGACCCCACAAGTTCTGAGATATGACCCCTCTGTCTGTCTCAATGTTACTATGTGGAAGGCACAATTAATATCAGTAACTCCATCACTCAGACAGTCCACAGTGTTGTCTCTGGTTGGGGAACAGTCAGCAATTAACTCTTAGACAGCTTTCAGAAGAGCCACTAGACCTCCTACCTGTATAGCCACTTAATGCATGGTGTCTAAGGCTGTTGCTCCTCTTCCCTTACCTAAAGGGAGTGCTACAAAGGCCCAAACTCTTACTCTTCAGATCACAGTGAATATTTTGATTCACAAAACTGTAGACCATGTCACATATAAACTGATAGAAGATATTTTATGTGATGTTCTGAACTGCTTCTGTACAATAAGCTGTCCATAAACCTCTGCTGGGCAGGTTGAGTTTTTTCATTATTTTTGTAATCCGTTATCTA